AGTGATTGGCGAGATCCCTTCTCCGGACTTGCCGTGGTCTTGGTATGCATTTTTGTTATAGACATTATGGGTATGTCGGGTACCTGTTCCGGCTATGTTGCAGAACTTATATTCATTTAGAGGCTCATAGATAGGTGTCGACTCATGTATAGTTTGGTATGCCTTGTCGGCTGGTTTTTGTTGTATAGTCTTTCATGGTGGCATGGTAGCTCGTACCTTATATGTAGTTTCTTGATTGTCTGGTCATACCATGTTATGTATGTTCATGCCATCATATTTTATTGTTGGTTGTCCATGATACATGTATACCATTTATATTGATTTCGTCAACCCTAAAAGATAATAAAGAAGGTTAGATAAAATGTACGTTGGTGCTCGACAAGTATGGTCGGGTGCTAGTCATGGCCCTCCAGTTTGGGTCGTGACAAAGAATATACTCTCTTACTTTTTCGCTCATTGTTCATCAGAATCGTCCTTTAGCTTTATTATTCTTGCGTTATTGTTCTTGGTCCATCTCGAGGTCACTTTGGCTCGAGGTCGATACAGCTTAGCAACACTGGTTTGATTTACTCATTTCCTCCATTTATATGTTATTCTTTTTGATTACTAATTAGTATCGAATTAAATCACATATCTTTAAAACCACAAATCAAGTTTAATTGTTACGCGTATTTTCGAGGTAAACAGTTTGGCGCCCACCGTGGAGCTAAAGATAATAGTGTTTATTTCAATACTGATTCTGGTAACGCACGTTGTTTTCACACTTGTTCTTGTCAAAGATTCTTTGATTTCAGGATAAAACACGTCAAACTCACAGAATGCATACACGGTGATGACGGTCTTGGGTTCCACGGAGAAAATGACAACATAATTGCTCCAAGGGTCGATGTACCACCGATAAACCCTGGGGAAGTGCCAAATATGGAACCAGTGGATGTTAGTTCACACATTGCTTTGAATGCGGATCTAGGCGCAGACCCCGGAACAAGTGCACGTAAGGAAGTCAGGTCTGGTGCCAAAGAACATAGAGCGTAGGAGATGGGGGGATCAGACTCCAAGTAATATTCGAGATGCTGCAAGCTCAACAGATTACCATCGCTCAACTTCAACGTCAGAACAAAACTCCAAGTATAGTCGAACTAGAAAACACTCAACGTACTGAGCCGGTGCCAGAGATATCGAACGTTAATGGCTCGGGGATTGACCCCACAATTATGAGGATGCTCGAGGTACTCAACAAGAGGATCGAGTTCGGGGAGAAGAAGATTGAGGATAATGTCAAAAAGGTGGAGACTTATAACTCCCATGTTGATCAAATACCGGGGGCACCCCCGGCCTTAAAAGGATTGGATGCCAAAAAATTCATACAAAAGTTGTTTCCCCCGAGCGCGACTCCGATGCCCATCCCCAAGAAGTTACGTATGCCCGATATACCTAAATACAATGGAACAACCGATCCCAATGAACATATCACCTCATATACTTGCGAAATTAAAGGAAACGACTTGAATGATGATGAGATCGAATCAGTTTTGTTGAAAAAGTTTGGAGAAACCTTGTCTAAGGGAGCCATGATTTGGTATCACAACTTGCCCCTGAACTCTATCGATTCGTTTGCTATGTTAGCAGACACCTTCGTAAAAGCATACGATGGGGCCATAAAGGTGGCGACAAGAAAATCAGACGTTTTAAGATAAGGCAGAGGAACGATGCGATGCTAAGGGAGTTCGTATCCCGGTTTCAGATGGAGCAAATAGAATTACCACCAGTCTCGGATGATTGGGCAGTACAAACTTTTATGTAGGATTTGAACGAGCGAAGTTCGATCGCATCTCGACAATTGAAGCAGAACCTGATCGAGTATCCAGCTGTGACGTGGTCAGACATACATAATCGTTACCGATCGAAGATCAAGGTTGAGGATGATCAGTTGGGAGCCTCCTCGGGTTCAGTTCATCCCAATAGATTGGCAGCTAAGCCCCGAGGGATACAAACAGGGAATCAAGATCAAACAAGGAACATTATCAGTCGTATGCTGATTGGAGAAACAGCGGTTCGGGGCGTTACGCTCCTCGGAACAATCAAAGAAATGACCGATGTCAAAGCTCTCGAGGACTCATGAGTAAGAATGGATTTGATAAACATACCGACCCCATGGAAGCACCTCAATTGTCGGAGTATAATTTCAGTGTAGATGCATCGGGTATCGTATCAGCTCTTGGAAGAATCAAAGACACCAGGTGGCCTAGGCTAATTCAAAACGATCCTTCTCAAAGGAATCCAAACTTGATGTGTAAATATCATGGCACACATGGACATAGAATCAAAGACTACAGGCAGTTGAGGGAGGAAGTAGATCGATTGTTCAACGAGGGTCATCTTCGAGATTTTCTCAGTGATCGAGCTAAGAACCACGTTAGAGAAAGAGATGA